TGACATAATTGCCATTCAAATTGAGGCACTTGTCATAACGTCTTACAAGGTTTGAAATTCCTTAGTAGCAGTCACTTGGCACCAAATCTGGACTATTGGGGTGTGTGTGTGACCAAAACATCCCAACGGAACTGCTTCAAAAGTTCTTGGGTGCATCTAGCAGTGTGCAGGTGAGCACTATTGTGAATCAATGCCACATCGGAAGTGGTGCAATAGAAAATCCCGCCAAATGTGAAGATGCCAAAGGAGTACTGCTAGTGAAGTTCATGGAGCTTGTTCAACCATCAATTCAGAAGTCTACTGTGAAAGGTTACAAAAACTCCGACAAACCGTCCATAACAAGCGTCGGGGCATGCTAACGTCCAGTGTGGTGTTGGTTCACGATAATGCTTGCCCACACACTGCTAGATGCACCCAAGAACTTTTGAAGCAGTTCTGTTGGGATGTTTTTGATCACCCCCCCCGCATAGCCCAGATTTGGCGCCAAATGACTACTACTAAGGAATTTTAAACCTTGTAAGACGTTATGACAAGTGCTTCAATTTGAATGGCAATTATGTCAAAAAGTAATGTAATGTTGCAGTTTTCTAATGTGTATAATAAAAAGTTCGGTATATATATATGAGTGTCTGTCATTGATATCCAAACGGAGGTTTATTTTTGAATTGCCCTCGTATTTACACCTACCAACTGAAATTCACATTCCTATGAAGACTCTAACACAGTATCCCCCATTATCTCAGAAGTGATCCATAGAGTTGTAAAACAAATTCAAGGTTTTAAATATATTAATATTCAGAACATTTACAGTCTTCTATCCTTCCAAGGTCAGTAAAATGAGGATCTAGATTATTGGGGGCAATATGCTGATGTTGTAAACTGCTTAGAGAGGGCTTTAAAGCACTATGAAGCAGTATATAAGTCTAAGTACTATTGCTATTTATGATTTTACTTTTGGAATAATGTGAAACTAGTGTTAACAATTTTCAAAAGCAGGACAGATGATATATTAGGGACTGAGAATGGATCCTAATTTATCTTGATAAAACTTCGTAAGTTTTAGTGCCGTTTATTAGTGAGAAGAATAGGGATTCATATGGCTACACTGATTGTACATGTTGTAATTTAATAAATTTGAGATGAATTACTTTTCTGAAATATCAATAACATGAAAGAGGGATATTAAAAAAAAATCTCTATGGTCAATGGGAAATGTTACCCTCATGTAGGCCACAATGTGAAAAAAGCAATTAAACAATTTAAATGACAATAGAGAGTTCATGAGGAGAGGTATTTAATTATTTCTTGAAGAGATCACTAAAAGAAAAATAAATGAAATTATGTTTTTCATTTATACATTGGAATGAAGCTGTCTGGCCACTGGGTGTCATCCTTGATTCAAATGAGGATTAAAGACTTTCCAGAAGCAGCATATCACAGGCAGCTTCTACAGCAGTTAAATTCTACTCTATTTGATTATACAACATAAAGCAAAATGTTCTGCATTTAAATCAGCTACAAAATGGAATACTATGACATAGACAAATTCAATTTTGTCTCAATGCCTTACCGGTGACCCAGTGATATTGGCGGAAAATAAAAAGAAACAGATAATAAGAATCTTGAACATTAGGAACTAATATGCCAAATCTGAAGACCAATCTTTTATCCATAAATAAACATTAAATAGGCTAATTTGGAAGACTGCGAGTATAAACCATTTTAACTTTGTTTGTTTTTTTCCTATAGTTGACTTTTGTGCTGTAATTCTCTCTGATATATTGAGAATGCAGGCTATATAACATTGATGGCACCGTTAATGTTGTTCTGTATGTGAACAATTGTACTTTATTGGTTGAATTCTGACATATGAATGAATGAAAGGTTATTCCCCTTTGTAAATCTAGAATCAAAAGCGAAAAGTCCTTACACTGAAAGAGCAGAGCATTGATCATTTTTGCTAATGCAGTAGAGGATTATCTCCCTCACGATTCTAAAGCATTCCTTCAATTTGCTATTAAACAGCATAAGGAAGTGGGAATCTGCAAAAAGACCCTCACACTTCTTTCTCTACCATCCTCAGCACTCTACCGAGCATTAAATCTGGATTCAGCCCTTTGTATTTCATTATATTTTGTTTTCTGTATCGATGACCTAGTTTTGATTCTTAAAGATTGCACATGCTGTACCTACAATGCCGTGAATGGCATTACTGTACTTTTAGAAAACATGAGGAAAATAAATCCTTGTTTCTCTAGCTGAAAGCTAGTTTCCTATATATAGCGACAAACTTTTACTGCTTCTGCCCAATTCTCTTGGGATTATACAATCAGAAGGGCTACCCCTTACAACCTATTCTCCACGGAGTATTGTAAGTATCATAACCGTAGGACTGAATAGCTGCTCTCACATTAAAGCTGTAAGAAGAATTTATCATGCAAAATAATAAATTTCACAGGGAGAGGGTATGTGCAAATTTCAGAGGTTATCCTATTAATTATGTTTCATTATGATTTATGTCATGAATGTTTAGAATGTGAATACTACAATCCTACATCACATGTTGGGGTGCAAAAGGAATTGTCTCCTGTTTTTTCTTAATATTAGGAGATTATATTTCAGGTATGAGCATATCTTGGTTAATAAACTGAGGAAAAGGACACATACTGGAACACTCTAACCCTTTTTGTCATTCTAATGTTTATTTCTGCCTCACTCCCTTTTTACTCTCTGTATGTTTCACATTCACACAGACACTAGGAGTGAAGGAAAATAATGGGATATGTTATCCCGGAACAAGGCTTTGAGAGAAGCAAGAGATGCTAGCACATATTTTACTATAGCTATAATTTCCTGGTTGTGTGCACATTTACCACGTCAGGTGTGTGGCTTTTTAAATGCCATCATACTAGATCACAACAACCTCAAGACAGCAGACCGTCTTTCTCTCTTGTGTTCTATGAAACAAAGAATTTACGTGGCTTTGCCCGAAGTCTTTTCTTCCCATATCCATTTCACCCCTACAATTTGAAACATGAACAATATACCACAGTTCTATCACACACATTTGAGAAAGTGGGGCTTCTGGGCTTCACTTCCAGGAACACCAGCGTGATGGGGAAAAAGCTAAAATTATTGTTACATTGCGGGTTTGTTATCACAGCTGTAATCTTAACAAATCAGGTCCCATTAAAACAAAGATTATTTAAGGAAAAAATGGAAGGCTATATTAACTCCTGTTTGGTGAACCTTCCCCCCCTCCACAAAGTCTATATAGAATAGAAAAAGTGGTCTTCCTGATCAAGTATTTCTGCAACCATTGGCATCTACTGCACTTTGGTTCAAGCCAGATGAATAACGAGCTGATTCTTCATGGTAAGTAAGAAAACAACACTCTGATTAGCAATGTACTGTACACAGGCAGTCCTCACTTAACGGCCACTTGTTCAGTGCCTGTTCAAAGCTGATGGTGCTAGGAACGAGTGTACCCATGTGATCACAATTCAGGCACTTGGCAACCAGATCGAACTTAACAATGGTTGCAGTGTCCTGCAGTTACAGTTTGTAACTTTCCCTGCTCACTTCCCAGAAAAAGTCAACTGGGAAGCAGGCAGGGAAGGAATCACTCAGTAAGTCTTCCCCCCACCCCAGGTCTTCCTGAGCACTGTACCACATCCTCCTTTATAGGCTTCCCTACACTCACATGGATCCTTTCTTCAGCCTCCCTGAAGCCACAAGCATCCATACCATCTTTTCCTCAGCCTCCCCATGCTTGCACCGACTCCTCCGTCCCTTGGCCTTCCTATGCTTGTGCACACTTAAGCTCTTGCCTCCTTGGTTTTCCTGCGCTTGCGCTGCACGGCAGTAGCCTCTCTCCCAACTCACATGCTGCTTTCATTAGGCTTCCCCCATGCTCCTGGGGCAACACCGCACTCCTTACCTGAGACTCTCACTGCTTTCCACTTAATGACCCAGACGTCTTGGGGTTACAAAGGCAATCTGACTGCCGGGATTGCTGTTGTTCAGCAATGCGGTCATGTGATACTGTGCTTTAAAATACTATCAACAACAGCAATCACTGTGATCCCAATTGCCATCCTAGCCTGAAGATGTGCAGCAGAGAAGAGCTGAACTTCTATTAAGCCTATGAAAATTAGGCTGTCTCTGACTCTCTGTATTAAAATGGTTCCCACGTACCAATGAAGGAGAATATTTGTAGCTCAGGTCTGAAATGAGGAGTCCTTGTTGCTCTCTGAGCTTGTTTTCTTGCAGACGTTTCATTACCCTAACTAGGTAACATCATCAGTGCTAGCACTGATGATGTTACCTAATTAGGGTAATGAAACATCTGCGAGAAAACAAGCAAGCTCAGAGAGCAACATGTTCACCCATGTTCAAAACGGTATGATTTTCCTGCAACTGAAAAGTGATCTGAATTTATCCGAATGCTTGAGCATCACCTAATATTGTACGGTCACAGAATCATTCCAGAAAGTTTTACACTCCCTTAGAATGATCTCGCAGAGTAGGAAGCCTAGATCTTCACTCGTATCTTTCTTCTCTGTGCAATTCCTTAGAACAATATTGCGACTGTGTAATGTTTCGCGATTGCGTGACTATTTCAGAAAATGCTTCTGTTTTCAAAAGACTGTCGTACAGTCTTTTACGACTGCAAACATGTGGAAGATATGCTTTGTGTGAAAGAGTAAAAGAAAGAGAAAGAGAGAGAGAAAGAGAGGGAGAGGGAGGGAGGGAGAGACAGACAGACAGACAGACTTTGGCACTTCATGAAACAAATTCTTTTATCACTTTAAAAATGCAGTTTTTAAAGAAATTCTTCCATTCTTCACCCAAAAGGTAGGAAAAATACGCCTCCTTCGTAGGACCAATCATAACCCGTGCAAATGTGTGGATTACATTTATCAACATTTTTGTAAGTAGATACCACATGAATTCAGCAAAGATTAATATTACAGCATATTGTCAAGGAGTATACTTACGCCGGTTTCATAGACTTGGAATGTTTCTCATGAATGTAAGCACCAGCTAGACCCCCAGCTCCAGAATTCAGGTACTGAAAGATGGAATTCCTCATTTAAATATTTCTTGATGCAGAGAAAGCAAAACAAGCTCCCCCCCTTTTTGGAGAGTATTGTTATACTGTGATGTAAATGTGATCCAAATAACTATGAACAGGGAATAGGTTGTTGTTGTCCAGTCACTGTGTCTGACTCCTCACCACCCCATGGACCACAACACACCAGGCCCCCCTGTCCTCCATCATCTCCTGGAATCCACCCAAACCCATGCTCACTGCACTGGTTACCCTATCTAACCATCTCATCCTCTTAATTGCCCTTCACACTTCCCCAGCAGCATATTGGACATCTTTCAACCTCAGGGGCTCATCTTCCAGTGTCATATATTTTAGCCTAACCCTACTGTCCATGGGTTTTTCTTGGCAAGGATACTGGAGAGGGTTGCCATTTCCTTCTCCAGTAGACCAGGTTTTATCAGAGCTCTCCACTATGAACTGCCCATCATGGGTGGTCCTGCATGGCATTGCTCATAGCTTCCTTGAGCTGTACAAGCCCCTTCGCCATGACAAAGCAATGATCCATAAAGGGACCGTCTCTTAAATTTCTAGCCATTTCTTACATTGAGAGTAGGGTTGCCAGGTCTGCTTCCAAAAAATAGCGGACAAGCGGGGTGGGTGGGTGGGTTAAGTAGTAAAAAAAGTAGACTGTGCAGCTTTAGATTACGTACCATTTCATCATAAAGCTTTTGAATAAAAAAAAAGTCCACTATTTTGTGAAAAAAAATAGTGAACATAATGTGAAAAAAGCGGACTGTCCACTCAAATAGTGGACACCTGGCAACCCTAATTGAGAGAGAACATTTAAAATGGATCCTTCAAGTGCTGCTATGCATCAGTAGAATTTTTGTTTCATACTAATTTATAGGAAGTTCTCTCACTCTCATTTTTGCAGCCGTATTTCTATTTTTGTATCCATTTTTACTGATAAGCACTTTATCTGACTGCACTATTCATTATAAATCCTACATGTAAAATATACCGAAAGTTGTGTGACATAAATAATGGGGTTGTCCTCTCTGACATTTAACCAACTGTTCCATGTTGGCTCTGAGTTTCAGTTGCAAGAGCAACTGAAATTAATTAATACTAATTCTCTGGAATGATAAATATATGCTCACCTTGTAGGAACACCAGCAAGCGAAGTCAACTCCCCACTCGTGTAAATGTAATTCTACATTTCCAACAGCATGGGCCAGGTCAAATCCAACAAAGCAGCCCTTTTAGACAAATAAATATCATCATGTTTCTTTTCATTTTTAATGAACTTTTTAAAAATATACTTTGACAACTTTTACACAATTGTTAAGAACTTAAATATTTAAAAACAGACATATAAGCCTTGACAACTTGAACTTAGAAACAGATGAGGTAATGTCCCAAAACTGTTTTTTTTTTCAAATGACAAAAACATTTAGCTTCTCTGAACCTAATTTTATGGACTTGGGAGTCCATGTTGGAAGAAAAAGGCTACCTATCTTTATGCCTGCCTAATTTTCATGGATCCAACCACCTGTGTTTTTCATTTATTTTGAAATATTTCTAGCATTTCCATATTGTGAAAACATGTTCACCCCAAATTGGAAATAAATTAAGAAATGTGTCATAAAAAGTGTTAAAAATTCAGTTTAGTATATTTTTTCCATGAGTTCTATATACATTTCACTTCTGAAACTGGAAGTCCATGTAAGACACAAGCTATGGTTTATTTATACAAATTGCCACTTGATGGCAGTATGTTTAAATAAAAAAACAGTAGCAGAAAAATAAAGTACTGAAAAATATAGTACATTTTTTTGTATGGACTGCACACTGAAGAATATTTTACATATTTTTAAAAGCCTTTATAAGTATGGTGGGAGGATGAACAGCAAGGGCATAAATTTTCAAATCTTTTCTCAAATAAGAACACAAAGACTTGGAAACTTTGGCTTCTGTCTTTTTCTCCATCTAAATTATTAAAGCCGTATTTCAATATATTAACTCTACTTGGCTGTATCTCACTCTCTGAAAATAATTGCATTTATAAGTGCAACACACTAATTCTAATGAAGCCACTAATGAGGCTGCCAGCATAGAAAGTCCTTTCAGGGTGAAAGGACAAACTTGCAGACTGTGTAAGTTTCAAAATAAAGCTGAGAATGATAGATTTTAAAAAAATACAAGTAGGAAAACTAGACACTGCTGTGTGCTAATGAATTTTTTAAGCCAGGATTCTTTACCATCAATGGAATGGCAATTTTTTTTTCAGGTTATAGGTTTCTCCTAGAGAGGAATTCCAGTGGTTTTCAACCCCTTTTTATTTTGGTGTGTGTGTGTGTGGGGGGGGGGAGCTTTGTGGATATTAAAGGTAAGGAACATTGAGTGCTGAATGTCCCAAATACTTCATATTGCCATTCTCATCCTTGTTTTTGCAAACCTTGCTATTGAAATGCCAGTAGCATTTTGGGTTCTTTAGTGGTGGTAGTTGAATTTCTCTTGGTTCTATCCTTAAATCTGCCTTGGTATTAATTGAGACATTAACTAGTAAGAGACACTCTGAATTAATTAATTAATTAAATTGACCTTGCATTAAAATGGAAGTATTTAGAATGTATCACAAGGATTTTTAACAATGGAGGAAACCTCAGGATTAACAATAATATTTACCAATAGCTCATATGGAATAGATTTGCTAGTCACCAGGGAAAGAAATTCATAAGAAATTTAATATAGTTCATGTCAGGATTAAATTGAGCAGGGCTATTTGTTAAATATTGTCAGGAAAGAGGAATAACCCAAAAATTCTATCCAATGATAATAAATCTATTTGGGATAATAAAGTAGTTCTGATAGAACAGAATATTTGTAGCTGAGGGTTGAACTATAAATAAAGCAATTGTTCATCTCTACATCTATAAATTGTTTACAATTTACAATGAAATTGAGAAATAAGAGGAAGGCAGGCAGGCAGAAAGGAAGGAAGGAAGGAAGGAAGGAAGGGAAGGAAGGAAGGAAGGAAGGAAGGAAGGAAGGAAGGAAGGAAGGAAGGAAGGAAGGAAGGAAGGAAGGAAGGAAGGAAGGAAGGAAGATAAATGATTATAAAGAATAAGAAGATGAGATAAATCAGAAAGATAAGATCTGAAGCTATACTAGCATGCCTTCCTGTTAAGCAATCCTACACAATTTATAGCAGGGGTGTCAAACTCGCAACATCACGTGATATGTCGTGACGTATTGCAACTTTTTTTCCATTGCCGGCAATGGGGTGGGCGTGGTTTTGGCATGACACATCCGGCCCGCGGGCCGGCAGTTTGACACCCCTGATTTACAGGGAAACAGAACCTGTAACAAAAGCAAGACAATTGGATGGTGATGGGATGTGGTTGAAACTAAACCAGCTGATTAGTAATGCCTAGAGAACGAGATCTGACCAGAAAGTGTTGACTGAGTTATATAATAAAGAAATAATTTGAGATGATTTTTCAGGCTTATTTACTTCATTTAACATTTCACAGTGAAGATGTCTACATGTAGTTACCACTACACTGGAAAGAAACTCAAGAAATTGATTTGAAAAAATAAAAATAAAATAACTTAGTTAGTAAATATCTGTCAATGAGCGACAATGATATTCCTTAAATTCCTCAGTGTAAGAGGAGCCTCTGTATCACATATCTTTGTTGACTACCACCACCACCTCCTCCTCCTCCTCCCCCCCCCACTCCCAGGTTCAGCATAAGGGCTAATGCAAAACAAAATTGCAGCATATTCCCGCTCTCATTTGGAAATATATACGAGAGATATTTATTTCTTCAAGGCTGGCCAGTTGATTTTCATAATACTAGATGCCTCTAGAATATATAATGCACAGGGACATGCATAGGGCAAATGGAAAATAAACAAAACACTGTGTTCCAAGCATGACTAGGCCAGCTTTAGCTAGAACATTTACAAGTTGGTTGTGTTCTGACTGAAAATACAAACATGCCTATCATTCTATCCCCTGGTACTATGCAAAGCACAGAAAACAAATAAGAAATAATAAATCAAAGAGATTACAATCATGAAATACATCAACAGAAAATAAAACAGGCTGAATCTAGTCTGACGTCATCACTATTCATTCCTCTCCGTGAGCTACTATCCTTGCAAACCATCCTTTCTTCCACCAGGTCCATACAAGTTCTCACTTCTCTTTTTTAGTGATATCATTAACCCAAGACTTTCTTGGTTTTTCCCTACTCTTCACTCATTTATTCTTCCTTCATGTATTTGTTTTGAGATTTAATCTTCATTTATCACAAATTTTCTCTAAATCAACACATTGGAATTCTCCTTAACAAAGTTAACAACTAATTCCTCTGTAGTCTTGGCATTCACTCTTGCTACGTTTACCTTTGCACAGAAGAACAATAATCATATTCTTCTGTCAAGGTGTTTGATCTTCTTTCAAACACCTTAAAACAAGTCACACAACCATTCAAATAGCAGACCACCTCCATATTTCAATAATAATTCTGACTTTGGCTGTAATAAATGATTTTATAATTCCCCAGTTACCTATCTACAACTTAGCTTTTAATATTTTTACATTTATGATATCCTTTTTATTATTTTTCTTCTTTTGTTGTTGCTAAGTCATGTCTGACTCTTCGTGAGCCCATGGAGCACAGCACTCCAGTCCCTCCCCATCCTCCACTGTTTCCTGGAATTTGCCTTGTTCATTGCATCAATGACACTATCTAATCATCTCATCCTCTGCCATCCCCTTCTCCTTTTGCCTTCAAACTTTCTCAACATCAAGGTCTTTTCCAATGAGTCCTCCCTTCTCATTAGGTGGCCAAAGTATTTGAGCTTCATCTTCAGAATCTGTCCTTCTAAAGAACAGTCAGGGTTGATTTCCTTTGGGATTGACTGATTTGATCTCCTTGCAGTCCAAGGAATTCTTAAGAGTCTTCTCCGGAACCACAGTTCAAAAGCATCAATTCTTCGACTCTCAGCCTTCCTTATGGTCCAACACTCACAGCCATACACTGGGAAAACCATAGCTTTGACTATATGCTTTTGTTGGCAAGGTGATGTCTCTGCTTGTTAATATGCTGTCTGGGTTTGCCATAGCTTTTCTCCCAAGGAGCGTCTTTTAATTTCAGGGGTTTTTTTTTCTTCTACACTAACATTTACAGTATTTATTTCAATTCCACGCTTCAATATATCACTATTATTCTCATATAAATCACTGTATGATATTCCTTCCAGTCCAAATTATTTCACCATTTTTACTTTCAGTTCTATTCACTCAACTGGAAGCTCCTTGATCAGACCTCTTTATCCACTTTATATATACTGTATATATATATATTAGTTTTCACCAAATAACTTTCAGTTTTCTATGCCTCTTTTAGTCTTAACCATTTTCCTTGCTCTCTTTGACTTATTCTTTGTCACTTTTTCAGCTATACGCATTATGCAACATCTCTTTCACCCTATATTTTGCATTTTATAGGTGTTTTGTCCAAGAATCTTTTATTTGTTTCTTATTTCCTATTATCATTAACTCCACGTGTTCCTACTGCACAGTGGAACATGAGATTTTCATCTGTTCCAAGCAGCTTCCACATCCTCTTGCTTTGCATCTATTTTCCATTCATTCCACTGAAAGAGCAAGTAACCTTCTAATATATTTTCCTACAGAAGAAATACTTTTTTTTTACTGTTGTTATTCAAATTTCAACCTAATTTCTTTCATGTCTTTTGTTGGAAAGATATTCAAACCAAAAAAAAAAAAAGGAAATAATAATGAAAGAGACTTTTTGAGTGAAAGCTTTTAAAAGTGTCCATGGAACTGAGCCCAAAAATGAACCCACAAAAAGGACCTATTTCAATGCAGCTCATACAAATTTAAACAGTAAAAAACATATTTTTCTACTTAAGGCTTTTTTAAAAAAGAGACTGGATAACCATTTATCTGAAATGGTATAGAGCAGTGATGGCGAACCTTTTAGAGACCGAGTGCCCAAAACCCGCCCCCCGCCCTGCCTGCTCCGCCCCCACCCGCCCCCTGCTCCGCCCACCCACAAGGCTATGCACTGCCTCAATGCCTCGCCGTAGCAGATCACCCAGGCAGCCCTGCAGCGCCATGGCAGCCACACCCTCCGCCCACACCCCGCAGCATCATCTGCACGCTATGGAACGTGAGGGCGGAGTCTTGTCCCTGCTGCCCAGCTATGTCTTGGCTGCG